GTAAACATTCTCGCGTCAAAGCAAGTATGGTAAACCAATTTGGTCGTAATGTAAATTTTGCTTTTTTGACAACTTTTAACGCTTTTTAAAACAATTTCCTCCACGATTTCGAATGCCGATTTTTAATATGTTATTACACTAAATTTTATCTGTCGAACCATATACGTTTCATTTTTGTTGCAATTTTTTTAGGGTCTACCCTTATCTTTCTTCCACTATTAGATCTAGTTCAAGTTCTACCCTGGTCAACATAATTTTCTGCATCAACTACCTTTTTTATGATAATATTTTGATATTTTACCGTTGTAATTTGAATAAAATATAAAAATGTTATATAATGTTTCAAGATTTCCTCGAGGTGATAAAGACAATCAAAGAGCAGCTGTACTTTCACAAATGTAAAAAAAAAGTTTTATAACAGTGTAAAATTGCCAAATACAATAGAAGGGATTCCAGCCATGTGGCATTGTGATTGCAGAAACAGAACAGATAATGACTCACATTTCAACTATGCAGGGTACTCAATTTTTGCACTTCTCTCACGACTTATCTCGGTGTTTCACAGATTGGATCATTATTGTTTGCAAAAGAAACACCATTGAAATGATTATTATCATTGTATAGTGTCCCTTATTGTGTAGGAGCTACTAATTGAGGGGACCCTTTTAGGAGGTTTTAAAAAAATATAGATCTATATCTACATGGGATCAGTCTATCTTTTTTGTGTCTGCTGTTTAACAGTACCACACCACCTCTTTAACTGCCCAGCACTTTGTGACCTGCGTAGCACCTACCTACCTGCCTCCCCAAACATCGGAAATACTCTATACAGCGACAAAGCACAGCTGATTAAAACCTGCAAATTCTTTGCCATATCGACAGACCGAAGGGCTAGATCCCAAATGGCCGCTGGATCGGAAAAGCAAAGTAAGTAAAGTAAAGTGTCTGCTGTTTTATCATCTGTTCATCTTGTCTGTGTTTGGGGTTTTCAGAAAAGAATGACAGTCCTTCACTAACTCCGTCGCGGGCTCCGACACGCAGGGGACGAAACACGCCTGGAGCCGAGGACGGTTCTGAGGATGAGATCGTTGACGAAGCAAAGGATGACGGAGACGACTCGGAAGAAACTCCAGAACTTTCTCGTGGTCAAAGGTGAGGCTGATTATTGGGAGGATCCTGAATCATCTTTTTGGGTGTCGTGGAAGTAAAAAAATGTAGATCTAAGTGTTTTTTTAATATCATCATTAACCCTATCCGTACGTCGTGTTTTACTATTGCATCTGTACGACGTGGGGAACTCTGTGCCCCCACTTTTCAGAGAGGAAATTTACTCATTAATCCGATCCGTACGCTTTGCATAGCAGTCTGTCAAAATGATTTTTTAAGAAATACTGAAAGTTTAAAAGAGATCTTCACAGCTTTGACCCCTCCCGTCAGGTCCAACCTGGGCTGAGATGGATACAACATCCTTGCAGAAAGACAGAGATACTTGATAAAAGTTCTCCCCACATGTGAATCAAACTTGGGTCTTCTGTCTGTGTGTGACAGAGAAGAGCCTAATCGTTTTAGTTTTAGTTTTAGTAGAGGTTTTACGGTGCTCGCAACTGCATAAGGTCATATGAGCGCCAGGAGATTAGAGGTGTTACAAGAGAGTAACAAACATAAAAAAGAACAAGGGGAGATATGGACGATAGATGTTTGATAGGAAAGAAGGAGCAAACCACACCAGAGCACCCGCCAACCACCCACGCCTAATCGTTACACCACAGATAGCAGTATGGGTGTCACATGGGTAGCCTCGGTTTAGTAGGTCTGTAATAAAGGTCTGCCTCCTCAGCCCATCCAAAGACCGTGGGGTAGGTGTGCCAGACCCCATAGTAAAATTACGTCCTGTGTGAAGTAAAAGAAAAGTAATTCCCATTGTTTAGAGGCTTATGGTTGATCTCTAGTGCGGTCGAAAATTTGTGATGCAACTTATACTTATTGCCAAATATTTCCTCAGCTACTGAACGTAAAGTCTCCAACTTTTGCACAACGACTTGTACCAGTTTGTCTTAACAGATCATTATTTTTGTAAACACCTGTTTGCTGTATTCTAGAAAATTCCTTAGTAAAATATGCTGATAAAAAATCTCAGTGAGTGGTTTCTACAGATTTAAAAAGGTTTACAGCTTGGACAATATCGCTTTTAAAAGCAAGTCTGTCATTAAAAGTGTCATGGGTTAGCTATGAAGTAGGCCATATGCGCATGCAAAATGTGTTTGAGAAGCAGGAAGTGCTGTGAACTATCCCATTTTCAGCATGACAGAGATTTAGAGTATTTTTAAAATAAGTTTATGAAGAAATGTTTTTAAATCTAAACTCAATTGTTGTGGAAAAATATGATTCAGTTAAGACAAATTGATACAAACTGCTGTGCAAGTAAAGTATGGACGGCACTGATACATTCGCTGAAGAGATATTTGAAAATGAGCTGTGCCATGAATTTTTAACCACTCTAAGTAAAACAGATGACATAGTGGCTCATTGAGGTAATCCTTCAGAGAAATTTGACTGTTGGCATGCGTCTCGCCAGAACATCATCATGGGTGATCACACAATACTTTAAGTGTTTGAAATCAGCATTCAGTATCTTACTCAACAAACTTGCTATACAATACTCGGAACAGTCGATGATTGCCCAAGAAGTGGTAGGCCGAAGCAGATGACAAGTCAGGATGATGAATGCATTGTTGAGATTTGTGGTCATTAACCATTTGCTGCCATCAAATTCAAACAAATTGCCACTGACTTTAGCTTAGTTACTTTTAGTAAGGTGCTTACGGTGCTCGCAACTGCATAAGGTCATATGAGCGCCAAGGGGTGGATGTCAACAGAGAAGTCCAAACCGGGAATCAGGCTTACTCTACTCACCTCTCTAGCCTCAACAGCACAAAGTCTGCTTCAGCTATCAAGGCTCCCCAAACATACAAAAGGAAGTAGGGGACAAATGACGATAGTAAGGGTGAGGAAAGAAAAAGCAGCGTTAGAGTTTGTGCTGAGACAGTGCACAGAAGTCTTAAGCTAGCAGGCCTGAAGTGCAGACACCCTTGTACTGGAAATCTGCTGTGTAACGAGCACCACCAAACAGCCCAGTACAATTAGGGGATTGGTCATGAGCAAATGTTTTACGCCCCAGTGTCAATCTTTTTTTTTTTACAGTGAACATTGATGGAATGTTTGACTCTTGATAAAGAGATATTTGTGCACAACCTGTACTTTTTCACGGAAACTTTATTTTAACAAATGAGTGTTTTATATGATGTGATGTGGGCCAATGGCTTTAAACACTGAATATACTTACTTACTTACTTACTTAAAGTATAATGGTTGGGTCTTCTCTCCGCACCCCCCCCCCTCCTACTTTCCTTCCCTGGTGTCCATAAAATAAAAAAAGCAGCCTCCCTCCTTAACGATGCAGGCATAAAACAATTACACTTTCCTCAATATCTGTCTTTTCACCAACATTTCCCCTACTCTCCAACTTTCCTGACGCAATGTCCATTTCATCCCTTTCAATATGGGCAAAACATTTTTACCTCTAAGTTTGAATGTCTTTTTAATCAATGTAGCTCTATCTTAAGTTTGAATGTCTTTTTAATCAATGTAGCTCTATCTTAAGTTTGAATGTCTTTTTAATCAATGTAGCTCTGTCTTAAGTTTGAATGTCTTTTTAATCAAAGTAGCTCTATCTTAAGTTTGAATGTCTTTTTAATCAAAGTAGCTCTATCTTAAGTTTGAATGTCTTTTTAATCAATGTAGCTCTATCTTAAGTTTGAATGTATTTTTAATCAAAGTAGCTCTATCTTAAGTTTGAATGTATTTTTAATCAAAATAGCTCTATCTTAAGTTTGAATGTATTTTTAATCAAAGTAGCTCTATCTTAAGTTTGAATGTCTTTTTAATCAATGTAGCTCTATCTTAAGTTTGAATGTCTTTTTAATCAATGTAGCTCTATCTTAAGTTTGAATGTAATTTTAATCGATGTAGCTCTATCTTAAGTTTGAATGTATTTTTAATCAATGTAGCTCTATCTTAAGTTTGAATGTCTTTTTAATCAAAGTAGCTCTATCTTAAGTTTGATTGTATTTTTAATCAAAGTAGCTCTATCTTCAGTTTGAATGTCTTTTTAATCAATGTAGCTCTATCTTAAGTTTGAATGTCTTTTTAATCAATGTAGCTCTATCTTTCACAACAAAATTCTGTTCTTTGTTGCAGTGACATGCTTCAGTACGAGCAGTTCAAGTCAGACATGGAGGGAAAGCGTCTGCGTAACCAAGACGAGCAAGAGAAAGGAGATCAGAAGTCTTCAAAGCATTGCATTGTGATGTAAATTTGGAGACAACATTGTGGTGGGTCACAAGGGCCCCTCTTCTCTGCTTTCAGCGGAAACTGATACAACAACCTGCTTGCTGTTCGATTTGTTTGGTAGTGTTTAGAGTAGATTTCTTCACATTTCTTCCCATAACAATTTTTGAATTGTAATCAATTTTAGTTTTAAAAAATCAGGTAAGTGGTACATAATTGTCACTCTGCAAACAGCCCAGGAGATAAAGGAGTAAACTAGTGTTTATTACTTACCCTGTGTGGTAAAGATAAATATGTATTATCATGTTTTTTGACACTTCTGTGATCTCATAAATTGTTGATTTTTATGCATTGTCCGCTATTTTGAATACATTGATTTATACACCAATTCCTAAGATAAAACAGCTAAACCTGTGATATTGAAGTGCTTTTTATGCTACAAGGACTATTCCCAATTTCCTTGAACCCTGTGGACAATTATTTTTTCAACATACAACTTCTAAAATGTGGGCTAAGTCTCTGATATGGTGACACTGGTTATTGTATGCCTACCCTATGAGGCCAATCAGCATTATATCAACTGCTTACATACATTCTTACAGTGTTGAGAGTGGGTGCTCCTATCAGAATGAATCAACATTCCTGTTTGTTTGTTACTCCTCCTTTCATTTTTCCTGGTGAAAAAGCTATTAGCCTACTGTATACTGTTGTTTCTGTATTTTAATATTTCAATTCATTAAAATTTTATTAGAACTGCACAGCTGTCTTTTTGATAATCATTTAATAAAGTGAGAACAGCTGTCTTTGTGCATTGTGCAGTGTCAGCAAAATTGATAGGTTGGTTGTTTGTATTTTATGTATTCAGTGTTCTGTATCGACAAAACAGTTATCCAGCCCGCTTTGAAAATAGTTTGACGACTCCTGTTATAGTCTGAACTGGCTGCTACAAACTCATGGTAGATATCAGGTATCTATTTCTTTCTTCTGTTCAATAAACTGTCTAACATTGGAAACTGTATACCTAAACTGTACCGGTAACAAAATATTATGGGTGACTTATGATGTGGCACATACTGGATGTTGCTTAATGGCTCGTGGAGGAGCTACCCTGCAACAGAAAAACCCCTATTCAGAATAGTTTACTTCATTTATGAAAAACTCGACTGCCATAGTCTATGACCTATGTGCAAAAAGTTTGGAAGCTGGCTCAAATGCTGGCACGTTTTTTATTCCTAGGGGCAAGAATATCCAGCGACCTAACCAGGTAAAAACAATTTTACATCAGCAATGAGTGTGAAGAAAATTTTGCTATGCATTGACACTGAGAAACAATACAAGAATCAAACGTAGAAACCATCAGACCAAGGAAGCAACAGTTACTATGGCAACTTTATTCAAATGATCAATGGAAATAGTAATCCGGTAATCATTATACACAGCACTAATACAAATACCATTTCCAGTGCATTCATTTCATACTTTTGAAACAAAATTCACCAAGGTACAATATACCATTCCCCCCCCACCCAAAAACCACCCACAGAAGTGTATCAAATTACACATCAGAACATCCTTACCAGTGACAACAGCAAGTAAAGAGTCAACTTGTTAAACAATTTACAAAAATTCCTGAGTACTTTAAAAATAAAGTAGCACACCTTAATACTGTGCAAGAACTAGAAGGAGCAGAAATAATGTCTTTGTTCTAAATCCCACTTCCAATCAATTTCACAATGCATTCTCAGACTTGTAGCATTAACCTGTTCCAGCCCATAGAACAAAATAAACAAATGACTCCTTCTAAAAATAAAAACTGATGGACTATGCCTGAAGTTGTATTTTTGGAGAAGACAAACACTCATCTAAACAAGAATTGGTTGATTTGAAGTTAGCATGTGTTGTCCTGTAGACAGGGAACTAGAACTGAAAGGTCATACTTTGGGAAAAACAAAACATTAAATATCCATGTACAATATTACAGTCTCTGTGGACCAAGTTCATAACCAACTGTGCTACGGCAGCTGGACAGTTTTTTATAACTGTCAATCAACAATTTTTAATGCGAGTATTAATTATAAACATACAATTTTTTCAATCAAAAAGGATATAATGACAAAGCCTTTTCATCATGCAGTCCAGCTAAAATCACAGAAATAGAGAAATACAAAGCCTGTAACTGCAACTTTAAATGAGATTCATTAAAAGTACTGTCTAAAAAAAAGATTCCCTGAAATCAGGAAATAATCCAAAGACTAATCTCTCATCTATTTTATTCATGAGAATATGTCTCCTTGACCATGGCACACAATTTACTTTTTCTTTTTCTTTTTCTTTTTTGCATCTTCGACACGGAGAATGACATAAAATTATACAACAATAACAACATCATATAATAATCTGCATGGCTATCAAAAGTTGTTCATGTCAAAATTTGGTGAGGTACGTCACTACCAAATATACGCACACAGTATAATCAAGTTGATGGAAAGATACAGTAAAGAACCAGAAAGCTTCGATTACATTTCATCTGAAAGTAAGTTTTCATTTACATATATTCTTTTCACAGACTTTGGGTGTTACGAAAGTCAAATTTACATGAATAATAAATCACGAATAAGTCATAAAATGCCATTTAATACTTTTGGTGAAAACCAGACCCTCGGGGGAAAATTTATTACTTTACAATAGTGACAGCCAGCCCCTGGCACAACTCCAGCGGGCTGCCTCAAAAGTATGACACTCCTGGGGTACTTCTGCGTCTTTGAACGAAAACCGAAACCGTCTGACGGCATTCTTCCATAGCTGGCAAGTACAGGAGACCAGAAACATTTGTCTTGGGAGGCATGAGTGCCAACAAAGATTAGTTTGCAGAATTCTCTTCCTGTTCCAGACATTTAGCGATGGTGTTCAACTGAATGTTGCTGGTTCCTTCATAGATTGTACCTGTGACAACACAGTTGCAAAAAGGGAATAAAAAACTTGCATAAGAAAGCCTTACTTTGCAAATTTTTTTGGGGGAAGGGGGGGGCTTCATGGCACTTGCATATATGTGTACTGACAAATGATAAGATTAACTTTTCTTAAATCATGATTCCAACAAACCACAAGACAGAGCCAAAAGCTTTTATTTGCTATACATTACCGTACTAAAATAAAAAGAATCATATTGAAGGCAAACCTTTGAACTGGTTCAAGAGAAATTTAATTCCCAATTTTCAGATGTTGATGACTTTCTTCAACAGTTCAATTCCAGGTACAGTTAATGGACTAAAATTCTTTGCGCCTATTCCTGAAGAATTTTCTGCATGAAGGGCCTGGGTACAAATCTCAATCATTCAAGAGAAATTATTGTAAACTCACATCAGTTATCAGGTATCTGTTTACTTTTGTTTTAGTAGAGGTTTTACGGCACTCACAACGGCATATGGTCATATGAGCGCCAAGGGGTGGATGTCAACAGAAGTCCAAATGAGGAATTAGGTTTACCCTGCTCACCTCTCTACCCTCAACAGCACAAAGTCTGCTTCGACTATCAAGGCACCCCGAAAATAGCAGTTCACAAGAGAGTGACAAACATACAAAAGAAGTAGAGGAAAAATTACGATAGTAAGGATGAGGAAAGAAAAAGCAGCAGTTCCCCCTACGTTGTTCCGGCACAGTATGAGCATGACATTGATGAATCAGCTCATTTACAATTCTACTGTGCATAAAAATATGTTAATATGTTAATATCCCTCCCCCTTTGGGAAAGGCCTAAAGTCAAAAGACACTTCAGTCAGTAGCACTGTCCTGGGGGGCAGGTATCTGTTTGGAGTCTCACCATATTCCCTTGCTCAATCTGAGGTTAAACACCTTACACATAGAACTGATCATTTCTAAGATGAACCACTAAAAACTCCTCACCGGGAAGACATTTTTCATAAAGGACAATAAAAATCCACACCCTTTTTGGATATGAACCTAGTTGCCGACTGTACTGAGGAAGCAAGTCCGTCCAGTTCCAAACTACTTCCTCCATTACGCAAATATATGTCCACATACAGTATAACATGGATAGGTCGAACACGGAAGACTCGAAATCGCACATCTGTCAAACTGAGCCCCTCAAACTACGAATCTCTCGAACTTCTGAGGCCAGTCCTGATGAATTCGAGCTATCCGTGTTATCCTATATATACCTGAACTGCCTATCAATTTTGAAAAGGTGTTCTGCAAAAGCAATATTTAAAGAAAAAATAAATTGTTCAATTGTTCAATTCAAGAGTGAGGTTAAAATTCGTATCTACCGTGCTTGACGGCAAACAGAGACAAACCAACATCAAACTCACCGACTTTGCAGTCTCTGAAGTATTTCTCCACTGGGTAATCCTTGGTGAACCCAACTCCACCCATCCATTCAATGCTCTTGGAAGTAGTGAGGGTAGCGACCTTGTTGAACAAAAAAGTTGCAAAAAATATAATTAAACTGCTGGTTGTTATGATATATATAGCAGTCAACATTCACAGTACTTCTTCCTTAGTCCTCATATCATGCTCCACTCAAGCTGTAAATCATAATCCCTTCCAGGAAAACAAGGGAGCTCTTGTGAGTTTCTTCCTTTTCCACGAGGAATGAAAAGCTCCCAAAAGTTGTTATCCATCCAGGGTTGTTGTTGCAGTTGTTATCGATCCCGAAAGCTAAGTTGGAGCCAGAATAAAACTTTTGTTCATAGAATTCTATACAGATATTTTCAGTTACAATTAGGAGAAATTTGAGAACTACCATACATCAGTTTTGATATAACATTCCCTAACACTAGATTTTTTTTTACAGAGATGCATTTTATTCCTCTTAATTCTACTGAGCCCACATGACTGCCTAAGCCCAGTGGACCCTAACGCACATCTGAGCTTACTTAAAAGTTACCCTTCAGTGCATCACACACACACCACAGTGTGTCTGGCACACTCCCCTGTGGGTGTGGTGAAGAAATTCTGGCAGTTGACCTAAGGGGTCTCAGGAGCACGAGTCGTGTAAGGCCCATGGGAACCAGGATGGAGCACAATCCTTTGAAACTCTCAACACCAGTAAATTTCACATCAACATGCTAAAACTGGGGAAATCTGAGACCTGAGCGACCCTGAACTGGCAAGAAATACGTATACAGTAAAGTCTGATCAAACAGTACACGATGAATTAAAAAACCTCAGTCAACTGAAAGAAATTAAAATCCCAGATTTTTTTTTTTTTTACTCTTCTATTTGAGCAACCTTTCCATACCAAAATCCTGGCTAAACCGTAGAAAATCTGGCAGTCCCACAGATTTCTGTTTAAGCGGACACCACTGTAGTAATATAATCACTTCACACAAGTGACTGGGAAGGTCGCTGCTTGACCAAATGGTAGATCACATTTATTCACCATCTCTCTCATGTCCGTCGCTCCATCTCACCTATCCCCCCAAGATTAAAAAGCTCTTCATTGTGCTCATATATACGCTTTTTTAACAATCGCATGGCAAGAGTAAATCATACGGACATACCATACATGGAATAAGGGTTTAAGTCTCAATCTCACACAATTTGGTCGCTTTTAAGCACAAGGGGGCTACCCCAAAAAATGCTGTTTTGAGAAAATCGAAGGTAAAGTCTTTGCCCCTTGTTCAGTTTCTTTAAAAGACAAGGAGAGTTTTCTCTATAACCAAACAAATATACACACCAAAGAAACCAAACTTCTCCTATAGGTAGGGCAATGTCCACTTTTGGTGTAGGTGAAGATTTCTGGAAATCCCCCAAAACAATGCAGACTATTTAGATCTTGAATATCAGTTCAAAACCTTCCATTCAAAATATAACCATATCATCTCCCACTAAGACCCACTCACCTCTGAGGCAAAGTACTTGATCATAGCAGCTTCCTTCACCACAGGCAACCCCATGGTGTGGCGACGCGCAGCATTGCACATCATCACTCGCCCCAGTTGAATCTGTGTAGCTACATGGGCAATTTGGTGCTGCATACCCTGTTGCCAGGATCAAAGAGATTACCGCTTTTAATAACTACAGTAAAACATACTTCAAACAAATGTCACATACTAATTAAATCATAATATATTAGAAATGTCGACATTAAACATTTTCTGTGATACTGAAAATTGGGTAAAAAATATGATAATTGCAAAAAACTACCCATTTGATAAAAATCTACATAATTTTAAGGGCAAAAACTTCAGAAATTGAGTAGTATGCTGATCATATTTTCCAGATAGTGATGACATATGTTACACATGATAAGAGTACAGTGTTGCTGAGAACATGATTCAGTGGCCAGCAAAACAAAACAGAAAATTTTTTGCCTTCTCACTCAGGTTCTTTTGACTTCCATCACAAAATCGTAAGCAAGCATCAGTCACTCGAGTAATATTCAATACATTATGTTTTTTGCCACACATGTTTAAAAATCTTATTTACCTGGAAATCACAAATCCGCTGTCCAAACTGTTTTCTGTCACGTGTGTAAGCTACAGCATGATTGTAACAACCCTGGGCAAGACCAAGCATCTAAGGGGCAAAAAAACAACTCATTATTTGAGGAAAAAACTCAAACATGCTGACAAACTGTAAATGTGTAAGATATTGCTGATGTCACACAATTCACATCAGTAGATGATTCAAGATCTGAACATGATCAGAGATCATTAAACTTATTATCATAAGAAGAATTTGAACCATCTTTCAAATCATAAAACAAATTAAAGTAAGAATGTAACCAAAAATAATATATAAAAAATAGGCCTCTATCGATAGAGACTGATGCCGGATAATATTTATCAGTTAGAATGGGAAACAAAAAAATATCTAGCCTCCTCTTAACATGGTATAATATGTATACAGAGATTATGTTTCCAAAATAGTCAGCAAAATCAGAATGTCACATAAACCATTCACAAAGCATATGATCATACCTGAGCAGCAATGCCAATGCGTCCACCATTGAGCATTTCAATCGCATATTTATAACCTTTGCCAAATTCACCCAGTATATTGCTAGATGGAACCTGAAAAAAAGACCCAACAATAATGTTGTAGAAGTTTTTGAGTATGCAGCCGGTCACCAATAACCACAGCAGTCATCCTTCACCTCTTTCCAACATACAAACGTCCAACTGACGGAAAAGTCAGAAAACACACCTCTTCTTGGAAAACTATTTCTGTATTATACTATGAATTCATCATTTTGTCAATAGTAACATTGTGGATTCTATATATATATATATATATATATATATCCTGTCTGAAGGAACACATCCTGTTTTAGAAAGAGTTTTACGGCACTTGCAACACAATAAGGTCATATAAGTGCTGAAGATTAGAGGTGTTACAAGAGAGTAACAAACACAAAAAAGAAGGAGGGGAGACAGAGATGATAGATTTTTTTATAGGAAAGAAGGAACAACCCACACCAGAGCACCCGCCAACCACCCCCAGGAACACATCCTTCATCCTCTTCATGAGACAATTCACAATAGTTAAGCTACAATAAGCATTACAAAAGATATACACTCGACCCTGCTCAGACTTCCACTTGTCCAAGACAATCCCCTGTACAAACGACCACCTCCAACTTCCCCTCTAGCATTTATTCTACATTAAAATGACACTGTTCAAGATGCCTACCTGTCTAAGACAACCACTTTTCTCCTTAACACTGGGTGACCATCTTGAACAATTTTGACTGGACATGCATCGATAACAAATTCTTCTAGTGATGTACAACAATTGCAAATTATCAAACAATGCGACCACGAGTCAGGAAGTGTGGCCCCATTAAAATGTGTCCAGCAGTTTTTGCAAATAGCAAGATAACACTGACCGACCGCGGAGAACACTTTCAAAGAACATTATCGCCAGTAACCTTCCAGCAAAAGTAGAACTTGCTAGCATACAACAAACACAAATATGTTTTGAGCTGTGCTCTAATCAACAACCACTCTAAGAACTCAGTTTTGATAGGTTTCAATAAGCTCTCTGTTAGCTCAGTAACCATCATCCTAGGCTATGGTATGGACGACTATGGTTTGAATTTTTTTTAAAGAGTTCCTGATCTTTGGAGAGACTCCAAGGTTCTCCTCCAGCATGGCCCCCTCCCACCAGACACAGATGTCCACATCCTCTTAAACAATATTACAGTACTAAAAGAGCTAAACCACATCAAAGTGTTGCGCTGCAATAGTAAATACCCCTATAAGTCATAAGGCTGAAGGCTGAAAGCTCAAAAGCAGTTGGATCAATAATAACAAAACAACGACAAATTTCAAAAGCACTGATACAATTTACGCATCGCCCAAAGTAGAATTCAAAGCAGAACACATCTTAAGCAACGTTTTCTCTCTCCTCATTCTTGAGACTGTCTAAACAGAAATGTATGTCTTACCCTGACGTTGTCAAAAGTGACCGAGCAGGTACTAGAGGCTCTGATCCCAAGCTTGTCTTCCTTCCGGCCCACACTCACACCCTCCATGTCTTTGTCAACGATGAAACACGTAATTCCTTTGTACCCCTGGTAAAAACAAAACAACAAACAAACTTTCAAAAAAAAAAAGTTCACATACGAGAAAGTACATAGGGAGAAATTCCCCATCTCCCATCTTATTTCTTCACCTAAAGCTACTGGGTTGAATAATGTAATCAAAGGCCTGCTTGCCAAACAATAGGTGCAAGAATACAGCTTTCCATCTGTTCATGCATACCCCCTTAACCAGGGTTTGCGCTCAGTGATCATTACAGCATAGAAAAGCCTTTCTTATAAGATCTAGTAAAGAGTGTCAATAACAGGATCCTTCACAAACACACGAATCATTTAGACAGAATTTGGTCAACACAAAATAGTAACAATTCACCCAAGAACTGTGCCATTTGAGACATGTCCAGTACATGAGCGATATATTTCTTGTCTAGCCATTTCCTTTTCAGATCTTTTCTACTCAAGAGACTGAATATTGACAGTGAGAGGCCTCCTCTTCTACATAGAGCTGACACCCCCCCCCCCCCCCCCCCCCCTCTCTGAAATGGTGAAAGTCCGATTGATTAGACCAATTACCATTCCCTCTTTGAACAGATGATGATCAACTGAGATTTTTTTTTTAATTGATGCTTTTGGGAGAAAAGGGCCAACTCCAATTTTCTGAAACCGAATATTTTACTGTTTTAAAACAGAGTCAAATACATGATCTCGATGAATGGGGTAAAATGGCCTTTGTTTAATCGAGCAGATTTTTAACCTTTCCTGAACAATAGGCTACCTGGGAGGGGAAACACCATCAATATGCCTTTCGTTTGTAGAAATATTTCCTTTCATGACTGAACACTGACTTAGTAACAAAAGAGTTACATAACCCAAGAAAGGATAAAAATGAAAAAGAATTTTTTTATTTTACATATGGTAATTACCTATTTTGTAAAGACCATTGAGGAAACAGAATAAAACGTTACACAGAACCTCTCCTGCTAGAAGCTGGCATAATTCTGTATGGAAACAACAGAATTAAGTAGAAAAAAAAAGAGAACAAAAATCAAAAGGAATAAACTTTTTGGCCTTAATTCTGAAGTATGCCACAAAGGTTACTAAGGAAGTCTCCTTCCTGAAATAATAAAGTTCTTATTTCCATGTTAATCCAGAGGAGGTAGAGTTTCAAACTTACATCTGCGGGTTTAGCATTTGCCATGACCAAGAACACACCAGCATGCTCAGCATTGGTGATCCAAATTTTTGTGCCGTTGATAATGTAATTGTCTCCGTCTTGGACAGCCGATGTTCTCAAGGCAAACGCATCAGACCCAGACTCTGCTTCTGACAGACAGAAGCTGCCAACCTGAAGAAAAACAAAATATTTACTTTCACTTTAACTTTTTAAGTAAGAGTTTAACAGCACTAGCAGCACAATAAGTCATACAAGTGCCAAAGTTAGAGGTATTATAAGAGAGTAGCATACAAAGAAAAGAAAAAGGGTAGATAAGGATGACATATGTTTGATAGGAAAGAATCAAACTACACCAGAGCACCTGCCAACCACCCCCAAAAAATAATTCAACAATCACAGAGTTCCATGGTCAGTACATTAAAGTTTGAACTTCAAAATAAAGTAAATACCAAATATTTTTGTTATCCCTTCAGTAATGTCTCCTTAACTCACTGGTTACCCGCCATAATAATATTTGTCTTTGATGTACCAAGCGTACTTGCTATTTCAATGTGTTTTCCAAACGATCAAGGCGACAATACTAAAAGATACAAAGTCAAAAAATTTTGCACACATGTTATGGACATAATAGAGGTTGTATGACAATAAACAAAATGCCATTTCCTTCTTTCATCTGATTTTTAGAAAACAACAAAAATAGGTCTGGAAATTGGCTCAAGAACCATAGTTGGACCTCAAATTCGGACCCAGGAAAACAAATAAAATGTGAATTGTACGCAACTAAAATGTTTGTTTCCTATTGTTTATCGCACATACCCACAGAGAACACAAAAAGGACCAGTGATGGCAACTGTCTGTCCAATTACCACAGTTTGTTACAGTGTGTGATAAACATGGAAACATTGTCCTATGCATAACAGCACGTGGCACTCAGAGCACCAGAAGTGCATTTCTTCTCTTTTCCAGCTCTTTCGGTGCAAAAGTGGTTGCAGTTTCTAAAAGCAGTACCCGCGCCCCATATGCGGTGGTAATAACATGAAAAAAACTCTATAAACTAAAAAAAAATGCCGTGGCAGCAGCAAAGGATGTCAGCAGAATCAAGACTATGACTGCATCCTATGCGGCACAGGTAGCCAGTCAGTTAAATGGTTCTACCTTCAACACACATGTACATTGTAGGATGGGAAACCTCAATAAACAAAAAGATCTGCCGGACCCAGCGAAAAGATAAACTTTACTACTCTTTTTCAAAGCAAAGTCAAGCAGCGAGCAAGCATTTACAGAATTTCTCACAACATTAGCGTTCAGGCCAATAAATCATTGTTCTGCTCCAACAGCGTCAACGGTCAAAGCTCTGGTCACTTTAGTTTAGTTTTAGTTTAGTATGGGGTTATACAGCGCTCGCAACTGCATTAGGTCATATGACCGCGCAAAACAAGTTGTTGTTTTTCTCAACGGTTCATTTCTCGGCTTGATAAAGGTCAATATTTTTATTTAAAATTTTTTAAACGCTAAAAATCGAGTGTGAATAGGCTTTAGATTTAAATGTAAATTTAAAACAACTTTCAAAATTACACTTAAAAATTTCGATTTCACAACTTTCCATAAAGGTCAATGCCCTTTATAAAATCTAAAATTCTGTTGGAAAAAACGACGGAAAAAATGTTGTGCAATTTTTTTGCATTTAAAGTATTTCCTTTGGGTCTCTCTGAAGTCTAGACATTCCGTTAAAAAGTGTCTAAAGGTAAAATTTGTGTTGCATCCGACACAGAATAGCTTCTCTTCTCCCTGACGGAGGTATTTGTGTGTTAGGGCTGTGTGTCCGATGTGTAATCGAGTAAAAATGACTTTGTCTCTTCTGGAGAGGCCCGAAGGATTTCGCGGTCCCAGTTTGGGTTTAATGTTGTGCAGTTTGTTATTAGTTCGTTTTTTCCAATGGCTCTCCCACAGACTGGACTGGTCACGTTGATGAATATCTGTTGTTATTATTTTTTATCATACTCTGAAGAAGCCCATTGGAGCGAAACGTTGAACATATTTTATAGTATCATAAATATTCAAATACTCAAGTCTTTATCATTAAAAAATATTACTATCATGCTTACATCATTGATAAATATCTGTAACTTCAGCGATCAAAACTCTTGTCACATTGATGAATATTTGTCTCTATGATAATTTCAGCAAGTAAAGCTCTGGTCAGTTTGATGAATCACTCTTAATTGAATTTCAATGAGAAAAGCTGTGACCACTTTAATGATTAATTCATGATAATAGTTATTTAACCCATTCCTTTTCAAAAAGTGTGCACTCCTACTAGACTGTCAGGATCGATTTTCAGCTGACTTTTTAGCCAGGACACCAGCCTCATAAGTCTTTTTATAGTTTTCGTAAGAGTTTTACAGCACTTGCAACATAACAAGGTTATATAAGTGCCAAAGATTAGAGGTGTTACAAGGGAGTAACAAACACAAAAAAGGAGGAGAGATAAGGACGATAGGCGTTTGATAGGAAAGAAGGAGCAAACTACACCAGAGCAACCTCCAACCACCCACTCTCTTTAGTCTCAGTGGACTCGCGGTCCGGTTCGGGCCAATCATGACATTTAGACCCCCCCGGTCTTTGACAGTGTTACTTTCCTCATCCCCATACTTCTCAGTATCCCCATAATTACCATCAACATGCAAACCTCAGTTTAAAAAAATGAAATTTTCCACATTTTTTTCAGTCATTTTGGTGATTGTATTTTGCAAGAGCACGCTTTCATCTCCAAGACTAAATCTGCATTTATCGATTGCTTGCTAGATTAGTAGTAAAGCAATACCAGCAAATTTAGTACTGATTAGCATATTTCATAAAATTCGTGAATATGAATACAGGCTATGCTAGTGGCTAAACCTCCGTACAGAAGAATTAGAGCCAGATGATTAGTGGGACGCACAAGTAACATCTTACAGGTAACCAGGAACAGCAGATTTTGCCAACTTCACAAAGCTAAAAATTTAAACATTTTCATGACAGACTACGTATGTCAATAGGCAATGAAGGGGCCAAAGGCCCAACGAAAGCAATGAGTGAGGCTTCTTAAAAACACTGACTTTGGCTTCAAATCCATGGCGGCAAAAAGCAAGCCCTGCTGTGTGATAAAAAAAATTCCCCTCAGGATGTGTCTGACACTGTTCATTTCTTTGAAGGCTTATAGCTCTCTTACTATATAGAAATATAGATATATAGAAAAGTATTCAAAAAATAAAAGAGAAATGAGCATACAATCAAGTGGTGGGGAAATTTTTGAGCTAAGATAGGGTAATTTGACAAGTGAGAGTGAAACAATTTTCCCCCCCTGCAATTTGGCTTTCTGTCCCAGTCTTTTAATATATCTTGCAACTGATGATGTATACATTCTTCTGAAAAATTGAAATACTCGTAATCACTGTCTGCATCTCAGTAAATTTCAGCAATAGCCTGATCCGTAGTCAACATTCATGAAGCCACGGTGGTGAGTTTGGTCTGCATGCAAGAACCACAGAGACACAACTGACTGACTGTGTCACAGTCTTTCGCTCGCAGCACATGACACATCTCTCTTTGTTCTAGATGCTAGTACATGAGATTCCTGCATATAACAGCTTAAAAATAGACATGACTGCACTAGCAAGAGAACAATGGAGACTGGGACATAATTCTTTTTATTCAAAACTATAGAAGGGAATATAAAACATACAAAACACAGGCTTTTCAAGAGCGTACCAGGCACGTCCACAGTACAGGAAGGGTTAGTTTTAGTACGAGTTGTACTGCACTTGCAACACAATTAGGTCATGTAAGTTCCCAACACTAGAGGTGTTACAAGAGAGTAACAAACACAAAAAAGAAGGAGGAGAGATAAGAACAATAGATGTTTGATGGGAAAGAAGCACCAAAGCACCCCCTCAAACCACCCAAGCAGGAAGGGGGTAGAACAGAATCCAGAGCAGATCTATTTTCAGAAAGATGAAATAATACATCAACAAACAAAAAAAAAAGTAGCATAATTTGTAACTTTAACATACCATATTTGAGGCTAAACGTGGAAGATATTTTTCCTTCTGCTCCTCTGAACCAAGCTTAACAAACAGCATGTTGATGAGAGTATTCTGGACGTCACAAAACACACTGACGGCTGGATCCACTTTTGCCAGTTCCTCAATAACGATGTTGCTCACAAAGAAGGAAGAGTTGGCACCTCCATAGTCACTTGGGATTTCCACACCCATCAGCTGTAGATACATTCAGGGGATAGAGTAATGACCTAACAACTGATTAACAAATAGGATTATACCAAGGAATTTTTACTCGCTATGTAGAAATCACATACAAGTACAAGTATTACATGAACCCGATGCTGTATATTATATAACTGGATACCTGGAGGTGTCATCTCTGACTCAGATGTTGACGTTTAAAGACCCTCCATCCTTCACAATCATAAGCTTCCGTTGCACATTCTGCTATATCCAGGCCAGTCCATGTTTTTATGTTGTCCATCCATGTTACTCTTTGTCTTCCCCTGACTCTCCTGCCCAACATCCTTTCTTTAAACACCTCTTTCACAATGGTCATTTATATAGAGTGTCTAAAAAGTTGCCGGGCTGCATTGTAGTGTGTTAGTTTATGAGAGACACTGGGCTGCAACAACACATTTGAGCTGTTGAGAACACTTCGTTATTTTCAATTTATTCATGTGACGTGAGTGGCAAATACTCAACCAATATAGAGCAATGCAGTCTGGTGACTTTGGAGTCACCCTCTCATTAATATGCTTTGAGAATTCCTGTTTGCTTTAATCTGTGCAGCTTTGAACTTATACTGAATAGCCAACCCTCAATTTTTTTATTTTAAAAAAGGAATAAGAAACCAATGGCTGAATTCTAGAGTATTTCTCGACGATACACCTAGAATTTTATCTATTCTTTCAGTTAAAAAAACATAAATGTCTGGCTCTGTCATGTTCTAAGAAATGGTGAATGTTACCTTTGTTTAAATTTTGAAGCAAAAACCATTACACTCTGAATGCCTACATGAATGATGGATCGCAATAATGAGATAAACAAATACATAAAATTCCAATGATCTTACCCCATTATCAAAAAGAGTCTGGATAACTTCAGGTGCCATATGGCTGTCCCTGTCCATATCAGCAACATATGGTTGGATTTTCTCAGCAGCTAAACGAGCCACTGAAAAAAGTGGAATAAAAAATACATTATACTAAAGAACTCAGTTGAAAGTCAGAAAAAAGATCTATCCCTAATAATTCATCACATCTACAACACTGACAAAAGATTTCCACAAACCCAGTAACTTGATCTCATGTCATATGACATTTACTAGAACTGCGGCCTACCATGATCATGAAAGCAGCTTGATTTAATACAAACCTAAACCCCCTTCTTTGCACAGTGTATACTATTAGTTTTATAAGAATTGTTGCCAGTTCAGCTGCTCTTGGACTTCTGCCAATCAGTGGAATTTCATGTTGTAGAAGATAAGATAAGATAATATACAGCTTTATTGTCTAGATTTTGGCCCACTGGTTTGGTGTTTCACCATCTACACACACACACACATACACGTACACACACAAAAACATGCACACACACGCATAAGCACGCACATGTGCACACCCATATATATACACACATTTTTCCCTCAAACATCCTCTCTTCCACACACATCTGAGCACATAACAATAATAATATAATAATATACTCGCACTCACAAACAGGCTCACAGTCACACGCATAATATAAATGAACAGTAATATAAACTATAATAATGTTAAGCTGGATATGTACTCAGTGGTATTCTGAGGCATGCTCTAAGGTAAGAAAAAAAGATCTAAGAAGATGGAAGTCTTAAAAAGTTCTTCTTACAGACAGTACAAGTTATCACCTAGGCTGGGGGATGGAGGAATAGGTAGTTACTGGACATCCCGCAGGTCAGAGTATTGGTAGACGTTGCATATTTTTCTAAGGCGATCATAAACCAAAAATAGGGGGTGAGCTTTCTGAGTTGACACCATTCAGGTGATAACTGTATGGAACTTCCAACACTATAAGTTATTTAATTAAGAAGTGGGACCCTTGAATACTACATTCATCTCCGTCACGACCCAAAACAGGCAGGCTGAGACCCTAAAAATTAACAAACACCCCATGTTCAAGAACATCTGCAGGCAATTCATGACACTGACAGCAATTTCTCACACCCACTGCTCAGGTTTTGATTTAGTGGTACAAGCAAAGTTCAGAGCATATTATATCAACTCTCCAAGTGCCACTAACAAATAGTCTGTGGTGTAAGTGGAAATTACATGATTTCACTATTTTGTGTTGAAAAACGCTTGAGAACAGGCATATCAAGGCCAAAAACCTATACATTTTCAGAAAGTAGAATGTAAATAGATAGTAGAGCTCATTTGTGAATAAGTTGAAATGTTTGGCATTAAAAATTGGGATATAAACAAACCGAAACGGTGACTCATATTACAGCCGATTAAATTAGCTGTAATACTACGCATAACAAAAGTGACTGCCAATGCAAACAACTGTTGATACTGGGAGGGTTAAGGAACTGGCATGTTGGACTAACAAATGATACCGACCTGCTACTGGTTTAAACATTATATCAGCAAGCTGTTCAAATGTACTAAGTTAAAAAAGCAAAATGTGTTAGGAGAGACAAAAAAACGTTTGATTGCTTTAACATTTGCCTACATTACGTATCTTTTCTTCCTTTTAGAACATTTAGAATTATAATTTTACCAAAGTATTTCTTGAGCATTTGCAACCAATGCCACAGATAAAATAATGCAAAACTGTTTCCAAATGTTGGGCTAAATACAATTAATCCGCTGGCCGAAGATAAGCATTTCCTAACCACGCCAGAAAGCACAAGCTTTGGTAATTTCAAAATGGATATTCGCACTGCCCTCACGTAATGCTTACCGGCATCTGTTTCAAGAAGGGATCATTATAGCCTCGAGTAGCACCCTGACACTATGCGCAGGTGAAATGTTAACACTTTTCCTTGGACCAAAGTAAAAGTCTTGACAGACAGAAGGCTGCATTCCTATCACATATGGGTCTACTTTGCACTTCATCAATTTGGAAGAAAACAAAGGATGGCTGGGGGATGTCAACAAGTGCTCAAGTTATAAAAAAGAAAAAAATCGAGGCATGAGTTTTAAATAACCCACAAGTACAAAGTTTTTATTTTAAAAATAATTCAAAACATATTATAAGTCAGTGGGGCAAGGCTGTTACTATAACATTTTGACAGTTTATCTTTATTTGGGGTAAGAGCTGCAGAATGTTTACCTGAATCTTTCATCATTTGTTCATCAGGTGACAAGAAGTCTGCAGGAAGTTGAGGTGCGTTGTAGCCATCCTCATACTGCTGTGACGCGTTCGGTACTGTGCTGTACCTCAGCCGGGACGTGCTCTGTGCTGTCTGGTGGACACAGCGAGCTTGTCGCACACTTGAAATCAACTGTGGGAAATTAAAAAACTCTATCAGCACTATCAGTATTTACATTTGAGTTTGCTTTTTTTCATCAAAACAGTCCACATTGAATCAGTCAAGCTTAATAGAATTACCATTTCGGGAGGATGTTGTTTGTATTTGCTTTTTTTTTAAGGATCAGAGTTTTTAACACCCCCATTGACACAATTTAGACCATTTACTAGGTGAGATTCTACCCTGCCTGTTGGGGCCAGTCCGGGCTAAGAGGGACACAACATACCAGCAGAAAGACTGAGATACTCCATAAAGATTCTTCTCACTCAGGAATTGAACTGAGGGCTACTGTGTGTAACAGCAAAGTGCCTAACCGTTTACCTCCGACGATGGTAAGGATGTTGGGTCAAAACATTTCAACTTTGTTCACCAAAAGGTATACAGAGAACATAAATGATACCAAACTAAGTAAACCAGTAAAATAAAAGCTGGCAAACCAAGAGTACTTTTACTGTGTGATTAACTAGAAGAAAAGACAAAGAAAATGAGACAGACACAGACGGAAGGCAGCCCTAAGTAAATTGAACTAATGACAATATATCTTCTCCCCATCACTAGTAAAAAAAATATCCTGCTTTTATTTTGGATTTTAATTCAGTCACTTAACAATGGCCAGACCTGCCCCCACAAAGTAATTTCCTCTGTGCTTTCGTTTATGAGATACAGACCAGCAAAATTAATCTTCAGGTTGCAGGAACGTTACTTTCAATTTCATAAAACCTGGTCACAATATTTCCAGCATCTTCGAGTTTCTGAAACTGGCAGATTATCTCCAAAACCTTTTGGTCTCATGGAATGCTGCTTCAATAAGCCCTTATCAACATCAACAGTAAGATTATACCTGTAAACACTCTGAATATACCCATTTAATGCCATTGCCCTTTATACGGTCTATATCAGTATTAAAAGTAATATCAGTCAGTGTCATTGTATTTTTAAAGAGAACAGAGAGACTCCAGCATCCTTTGAAAATTTTGCAGTAAATTATTCTGATTTTCAGGAATGTCTGGTTTGTCTTGTCACCCCAGATGCTGGCTCAGTCATTCCAACACCTCTGTTTTCTTTTTTTTTTCTGGCTATAATGGCTACAGCAATTTGGAGTACCTGGTTTGAGCAATCCTGAACATTTGCACTGGTTTTCTTTCTAGGTAAATAAGGCTAAAGTCCATCATTAATCTGAACTCTTATTTGATCCATTTATCTTTAAGAATAAATATTCCCGTCTACTGATGCATTAGTCATTGTAAGACACTGACGGACAAACTATTATTTTCATTAGCACTGAAATTGACATTTCTATGTTTTTATCTTACCTGGATGGTGCCCTTCCATGTGGAGACCCTAAAATTCCTTAAATGACTCACACTACATTGTACCATAAAGCTGCCATATAAAATTGCACTGGCATGCAGAGAGATCAGATTCAGATCAGCTGTCCATTAAAATGATAATTTATGTCTATATACTTCAGTGCTTCTACACTGTAAAACCCATTTAAAACCACCATAAATAATTGGTGCCCCCATCCTCACAAGTCAGATAAATTAGGAAGCAGACAACCGTGACCATGATGTGACTCCACGACCCTCAGACAGATCACATAAATTCATCTGTGTTTACCCAGCAGTCATAAAGCAAGCAACAGATGTATACATTCATTTCTGTAATTTAAACAATTCTCTTAGAAGACCATTTGTCATTGCCATTAATCATTCAGGAAAAAATACTCAATATGCCCACTGTAGTAGGCATCTGTTTTATAGAGAAATAATCAGCTGATGATCCCAACTCCAAGAGCAATAGAAAATCATTTATATTAGTATGTGGAGGAATTTTTTTTAACAGCAAGTGGACGAATTTGCTGAAAATGCTGGGCTATCTAAGAAAAACAAATTCCTTGTCTGATAGTTTGTTGTGATGATAATAGCTCTTTCCAAGGCTATTCCCAAATTGACAGTGCTAACAGAATTCATTAAAAAAATTTTGAGATGTATACAAAAAAGGTAGATTCAACTCTTTGTTTTTTTCAAATGCTAGATCTAGTCTTTACTCAATACAACTTTCCCTCTCTAATTTAAAAAAAACCAAACCCACATACATTCAAGCAATATTTCAATGAATCCTTACCAAATGTCAAAATAAAAAGTTGCTTTGGCAACTACCACTAGATCAAGAGAACCTAGGAAAGTAATTGGAAATTTTCCCAAACCATTTTGCATTGAGGAAAAGCAAACAAAAACAATAAAAACCTGTGTGGCAAAGATCTTTTCTCTTCAAGCCATAAAAGTTAAGAATACTGTATTTCTAAATCAAGTATTAAACCTTTAAAAAGACACCAATGGACCAGATCTGCCATAAAATATATTTACAAAACTAATACATGTATGTAGACGTTTTAATCAACCGAGTAACATATTTTACCTGCTCCATTTTATTTGTATTTAGAAGGAAGCTATGGACTTATGGCTAATAATTTATTGGCTTTCTCCATGACTGTATTTATTTTACATAGCCCATCACCCCAATCCAAATCCCTTAGGGCTGAACGGAAGGCAGTATTCAGGCAGACAGGCTGAGGTATTCCAGAAATCAAGCTTCTCCTTTTGAAATCGCACTCTTATGTCTTCAGCGTGCAAGGTATAGACCCCAATCATTAGACACCAGGGGCGAGTGATACAAGAAGGTGGCAAATTCAAAAAAACAAAAAAAAGAAAAGAAAAATAGCCTCAAATTCTCAAACTTGCACATGCTAATGAATGCAATTTGTTTACTGTTCTCAAACATGCAACGCTCTAAAACGACCTGACAGATCAGACAGAAATGATAAAATTGTCCTCTAAACATACACAGCTGGTGCCTCTATCAAATGAATTATTAATAAGGCCTGGATAAAAAGCAGCCATTTTCAACAACACAGAATATTTCCACTTATAAAACAAGGGAGCGAACAGGGGGCCTGCAAGATGGTGCTCCCGCCAGCTGTTGCCGAAGGATGTCAGTCTACCAACCGACAAACCGAGGCGACAGCTGCAGAACGCGTCGACCCACCTGGAACACCAGGACCTCAACAACCCGCCCGGGTTTTTCCTTGGC